AGAGGCCAATTGTGAGATTCGCCCAGAGTTGCAGGGTTCAGAGAACAATTCAGTCAAAGTCCCATGTATGTACAACACAGTTGCTGTGAGTGACAGAGATGAGCTGGTTGTGTACGTGCCTCAAATGAAAGTGGACGATGAGCCAGAGGCCCTATCTCGCATTGAGGCCCAAGCGTTTCAGAACCAAAGCCAAGGACTAGGGTGCTGGAGATGTCTCGACGACCCGCACACCGTTGAATGTTTGATCTTTTGCGGTCAAGACTTGAAGGAGCTGTGGCCTAGAAAAACACGAGTGCACTGGGTCCTCAAATGTTCATGTGGGGTCTAAAGAAGTTTGGTGTGTCCATTGTTTTGCAACGCTGAGTCCAAACTGCAGTGTGCATGGTGCACAAACTGCTGTATGTGTCATTGGAGGCTGGTTGGCCGCATGACTTTGAGCCGGGAACCTTGTGTGATAGACAGGGCCAATGAAGAAATGAAGACGTGTGAACAATGATTTCTTGACAGTAACTAGTGACAGTGTGATTGCAAGAACTGTTGGTGGGCGAGCTTGTCATCTTATACAGTAAAACAAGAGTTCTTGCTTGCTTGTGATGTCACCGCAAAGCTAAAGCTTCCTAAACCTTGGAATGTGTGTTGCAGAGTTTCTTGATCTGCAGGGCTTGTCGTATCTCAAGCTCGCACGTCTTGGCAGGGTCGAGTCACTCGACTCGCACACAGCTCTTAGACTGCCCATGGCCGACGATGCAGACAGTGAGATTGAAGTGGAGGAGACTGAGGGGAATCCCTTGGATCCAGCTTTCTTTGTCATGAAGCCGACATGGTGCCTCACATCAGGAACAGTGAAGTGGTACCCTGAGATTGACACACAGGGAGGAGTGGATTTTGTGAGGCTGAGCAAATTTGATCGCCATTTTGTCAAGTTCTGTCTGCAGAGGCCCATGGATTTGTCTCGAGGTGTTGGCAGGTCGGCCAACAGCACCTTGTTTGAGGATCTGCTGTCTCTGAGAAAGACAGCCAGTGTCGCCTCAGTGAGTGCACAAATGGAGATGCCTGAAACAGAGGTGGATGACGCGGCAGCAATGACAAAACGCCGCAAGAAACGAGTGCGTGATGAAGATGTGCGCTTGGTTGATCCTGTCGTGACGATTTGGCTCCCAGAGCTTGAGTTCAAAGGTGAAACATTTCCTTCACGCGAAGTCAAGGTGCTGTTCGGGGTGAAGTCCAAGGCACTGTGGATGGAGTTGAGCCATGACAATCTCACGTACATGCACGCGTTGGTTCAGAAGGGTGAGGGACAAGCTCCTGCGCGGAAGAAGCGGAGCTCGCCAAAGAAGAAGCTTCGACGTGGGAAGCCTTTGAGCCCGTCGCCAAAGAAAAAACGAAGGAATTCATTTCCTGAAACCCAGCTCTATGAGGATGAGCCCACTCTGCCCAAGAGCCCTGAGTATGTGGAGGTGCCCAGCACTCAGGTCGACCCCAGCCTCCATCATTTTGATGTTAGCAGTAGTTAGGCCTGTTTCACAGAGGCCTTTGAGTGGGTTTTTGAAAGGGCATGGATCCCTCGAGTGTGGCGAGCACTGATGTATGGCCCTGCTAGGAAAATTGCGAGCACTGTTGTTTTGGCCCTGCTTTGAGGTTTGAATTGCTGTCAATGTAATCAAGTTCTAACTCACCCGGTCAGTGGCGAACTGGGAGTGGCACTGGGCACTAAAGCAGGCAGACGTTAGATCACTGGCCATACACAGGTACCTTTGCATTCCGTGTCGTTCACCGTGCCGTGAGGTTGTAACCTACCATTGGCGTCGTTCTGCAACTGTCGGGGCCCTCAACTGCTTGATTTTTAGATGTTTTAGATGTCGACCAGAAGGGGAAAAGCTTGCTTGATTTTGAGTAGGTATTGAACGCTTTCAAACGTTGGAGCAATCTTTGGAGTGTCAATGATTGTGGTCCAAACTTGAAGACTCATTAAAGTTTTGAGCACATTGGGACAGTAGTTTTGAGCACATTGGGACAGTTGCGCATCAACCTTATCGCACGTCTGCTCAAGACGGATGCCATGTTTGGCATGGGCCAACTTGGCATGGCATGGTTTCATGTCTTCATGTGATGATACATGTATGACGTGATACATGTGCCATTGTATGATGTGTATGAGCCTATACCAGTGCACAGGTACCTCCAATGATTCCAACGATTAGCCTCCAAATACTCCACTCCTGTTCAACACGCCCGATGTCCTTATAGGATACCTCATTAACGACTGCGCCAGAATTCATATACTCACACATTCCCACGAGTGCCAGGTCCACTATACAACTTCACACCACCACTCACGATGCATCCAAACGTTCACAGTTCATCACAGTTCATCACAGTTCCCTCAACCACAGTTCATCACAGTTCCAATTTCCACACATTCCACACTTGGCGGCACACCCCAATTCGATCTGAGCTGCGCATGGCGGAGGGATCCATGGCAGCCACCCAGAATGTGAAGAAGCGTCACGCGGACGCTGGTGGTGGCGTTCTTCAGCAGAAGAGGCGGAAGAAGGTGGATGACAAGCAGGCCGACCTGCAGCCGCACGAGCTCAAGGACTTCCAGAAGCCCGGCGACGCCCTCAAGATCCTCACAAAGCCGGCGAGGGAGAAGGCAGAGGCGGCGGAGCCGGATCCGCTGGCTGAGGCCATGGAGATCTGGGCGGAGGAAGCGGAGCTGGGTGACTACATCCAGCGGCATGGTGAAGGTGGTGGAGAGAAGGGCACAAGGCCCAAGATGGTGAAGAAGAAGGAGGAGGCCATGAAGGCCGAGGAGGCGGTGGAGCAGGTGCAGGTGGAGCCGGAGGAGGAGATCGTCGACGACAACGGCGATGAGGGTCGCGAGGAGGAGGATCAAGAAGACGATCAGGAGGTGGAGGCCGATGAGATGGATCATGGCTGGAAGCGCCATGATGACACCGCCCCATGGCGACGCGATGGCAAAGGGAAGTGGGGCGGTGGTGGTGGCTGGCAGCATGGTGGCTGGCAGCATCGTGGCTGGGGGTGGCAGCAGCGCAACAAGCCACACTGGGCGCAGCACGGCTGGCGCCAGAACAAAGGCCAGGGCAAAGGCCACCGAGATGAGTGGGGAGGCGAATACGTCGAAGGAGGATACCGCGATGTGGCCGGCAACTTCTACCCGTACCCTGGAATGTATATAGAACCTTTCAACTGACTGTTTGTCACATTGTTCAACAGCCCCGCAACTTCAATGAGCCGTTAGTCCGAACCTTTTCAACTGTTTGACTGTTTGTCACATTGTTCAACAGCCATGCACCATTGATGAGCCGTAGTTCAACGACCTATAGATGTTTAACCTGTTCAACGAGCCTGGAGGCCCTGTAGCTACGAGCCTTTTCATCAGGGCCCTGTCATCTTCGTTCGATCGTCTCAGGTATGGCAGCGGCCGCACTCGCAAGCGCACGCTGGGCAAAGGATGGCAGGCTCGGCAGAAGGAGCAGGAGCAGGGCGGCAAATCAAAGGGCAAGGACAAGACCGGCGGCGATGGTGGCTGGAGCGCCGCCCTATCGGCGGTGCAGGATTTGGCTCGGGTGGCACGGCGGGTGGTGGAAGGCAAACACCAGGCCTCATCTGACAGCTAGATGGCTAGAGGTGAAAAGGTGCTGAGGTGAAACCTAGTTCAACATAGTTCAACAAACAACTGTTGGCCATTCCATCAAATTGTGTTCGATCTTGACCATAGGCCTACATAGTTCAACAAACAATTGTTTGCCATCCCAGCAAATTGTGTTCGAGCTTGGCCATACGCCTTCCACCACAGCGCGCGACATCATGACATGATATGAGTGGCTGCCTGAGGCGCATCGCCATTTAAAGTTACAATGTTAATGTTTCGCACTTCTCTACAGCATGGAATAGCTCCATGCCAGGCAGCCAACAGAATATGCAATGTATGCGCATCACATCATCCACTGGACATCAGGTCCATCCAACCCTCCATGAACTCCAACTCCAACAGTACAAGTCCCAGATGTCTCGGGGGGTGAGTGGTGCAGTTTGAAGGACTTGGACTTGAAGGATTGCGCACACCTTTTCTCATCTGCACAACACCGCTCTCGACCTGCCACTGTCTCGCGTGGTGAGGTACACCCATTCTCCAAAGCTCAAACCTCAAACAGCCCCTCAAGTACACCGCATCTGCATAGGTGATCTGAAGGTGAGACAGAGCGGTGGTGGCAGCACAGGCCACGTGTCATGCCAGGGAGGTTGGATTGAAGGTTCACGTGTATGCTTGTATCTAGGTGGGTTGAGCAGCATTTCACATCAGGGTGATTCAGTGGTATCGACATGTTTGAAAACATAATCATCACAGTACACGTGTCCTCAAATCGACACGACAATCGTTGGGGACCCAGGGTGGCCAACATTTATCGATAAAATAATTGCGTGAATCCAGGACTAAACAACATTTATCGTTCCGATAAATGAATCAGGGCTGACCCAACTTTATCGCTCCGATATTTTTGTGGAATCCAGGGTGTCCAAACTTTATCGGTACGATAAATTTGTGAATGAAGGATATACAAAATTTATCGCTACGATAAATTTTGGAATTTAAAACTGTTCAAAATTTATCGCTACGATAAATTTTAGGATCCAGGATTGCTCAAAATTTATCGTCCCGATAAATTTTGCATCAGGACTGCCCAAAATTTATCGCCCCGATAAAAATTGGGAATCCAGAGTGTTCAAAATTTATCGCTACGATAAATTTTGGATTCTGTTGGTCACCAGAGGTTTCCAATGAAACTTTGAGAACACCTAGTTTCAGGTCCATTTTGAGTGAGCCATCCAACCTCCAACTGGATCACACAATGCCTGCCGCGCATGGCGCGTAAAAAAAAGGCGGTTACTGCAGCACGTACGTCGTGGAGGGGACCTGTGTTGTGGATGTTTCCAACATGGCAGTTTCATCCTTTTTGAACGAACTGTGACGAGTTTTCACGAGAGTTTGCACTGGAGGGTTGTCACTAAGTTTCCTCAATGAGTTCAATGTGTTGCTCCTGCACCGTGCCCAGGCCTGACCTTTGCACACTTTGGAGGCTGGAGGGCCGGCTTCGACAGTGAGTGAACGCTAGCGCTACGACGTACCAAGATACAGTTGGACAAGATGGCTTGTTGGCCTTACATGTGTAGGCCTGTGTAGGCTAGTGCTGTAAACTGCTGTGCACAACAGGTTCATTTGGGTATGTCTGAGCTGTTTTCTTTTGTCGATGCTCTGATGAATCAATGCTGTCAACCTCGCTTTGCAAACCACGCCTGTGTCAGGTGTGCTTGAGCTGGGATTGGACTGGGAGTGTGGCTCTCGGAGCAGTTCTTTTGACTTGCGCACGCATCCGCATTTGACTGAAGCAGTGCGCTCATTTGGCGCAGTCGCAACTGTGGAACTTGTGCAGTCTAGCGATGTCAGGTTCGCGTATACGTACCCTATAGCAGGGTCTATTGTACTCGCTGGGGGGAGGCTGTAGGCAGGGCTTTGCACACGGCTCGCCAGCAGCTTTGAACATTCAATATCTGTGACCTCCCTAATCCCAGTGCGAGCTGCTCCATGGCACTTGGCCTGAGTGAGGGACGGTGGCAATACAAGGCGCTCAAACGCCGATCTTCGGCAGATGCCTGGTGGGATGTGCCCGGAGGCTGGTGCCGCTTTGGGCCCGAACAGAGTGAGAAGGTTAGCAAGGCTTATGAAAACAAGCAGGTGGACGCCAGCTTGATGCTTCAAATGCATCCCAACGTCAGTTACAAATTTACTGTGCATGAGCTCTGCGAGCCCCACGGCATGATCATGACTTCAACCTACAACGGTGGCAAAGGCGCCACAATATGGATCTACTGTAAGCCCGTGAAGCCCGTGCTAGCCACACTGGATATGTTGGAACAAGATGGGATGATGGCCTATACCTTTACCAACGCATTGACTGGGACCTGGTTTCTCACAGTCTTTAGAAATGGTATCATTTTCGATATTGCGTGATAGTTGAGAGGTCCCATAATGTTCAATTCTCTGTCATAAAATTCCAAAGGTCCCAGAGGGTGCAATTATGGACCACTCAGGCTTGGCTCTGGCGAGATCGATCCAGAAGAAACCGTGGCCAGCGTCTACAGCAGGTTCCAAACCGCACTCAAGGAGCCGAAGGTGCGGTCCACGTGGGATGTCAGCATGTCCAAGTTCGTCTGGCGGACCAAAAAGGTGCTCAACTCGAATATGAAAGTGCGAAACCTTTATTTGAAAAAGTGAGCCTGTCGACGAGCAGATTTCCTATGATCATTTGGTGCTGTCGACATGGCAAGAGCACAAAGCCTTGCGGCAAAGAAGCCTTGGATGTGAAAACATTGAAAACGTTTTTTGAGACGCGATGGTCCGATCATGACAAAAAGAGTGGAGTTGCTGACGTGTGGAAGCTCTTTGTTTCTTACTTTGTTCAACTACTGCGTTTTGAGTTCTCAGCGATACATCACAGGGTTTGAAGCTGCTTGTGATTTGATTTGCTGAGAGTGACGTTTTGGAATGCTTTTGAGAGGGCTTGTCATTTGATTTGTTGAGAGTGACGCTTTGGAATGCTTTTGAGAGTGGTGCCGTGATCGAAGTGGTGTTTAGCTTTCATGCATGCTGTTCACACGTTTGCAATCACGAGTTTGCAACATAAAGAACATGCGCGCAGGGCTTGTCGTGCGTAAGCTCGCCCTAGCATGAGCAGGGCCTATGCATACCGGCTCGCTCATGTGCCACTATCACTATATGGCCCACAGTTTTGATAGGATTTGAGAGGGGGCGGTGTTGCCCCAGACCGCGTTCATGACCGCTGTGGAACAGCTTGCCGCTGGGCTGGAGGAGACTGCCGCATTCCTCGGCGCCCAAAAGGGCTTGGACTGCTTCAAGACAGTCCTGGAGCAGCAATGCGCTGCTTTGCTGCGGCGGTGCGAGCTGTTGCCTCCCATGTCGCCGGGGGAGGCAAGTGGCCTGATTCAGAAGGTCACGGCATCAAGTACCAGCCTGATGTCTCCAGACTGGACTTCAAAGGCCGTGCTGGCGATCGGTGCGCGGGTTGCAGCACACAGTGGTGGTGCTTCCAAAGCTGCGCGGGCAAAGCAGCAAATGACCAACTTCAGCGCGTACTTGTCTGTCAAGGATGTGGAGCTCTTGGAAAACAACAGCATTAGCAACTATGCCAAGCTCGATGTTGTAGCCAATCGAATGGTGAGGATTGGCTTGGACCTGCCGACTGAGACATCAGCCGGCCACATCCTAAAGCTGCTTGGCTTTGTGTTTAGTAAAGGGTTCATAAGTGCGAGCCATGTGTAGGCCCTGCTGTATTTCGAACAGACTGCGAGCAGCGATGTACATTGCATGCCCTGCTTTGAAAACTGCGAGCACTGATGTAGGCCCTGCCTTTCTCAATGTTACTTTTAAACTCACCTAGGGTCAGTGGCGAACTGGGAGTGGCACTGGGCACTGGCAAGCAGACGATAGAGCTCCTCCAGACCTTGAAGAGTTTGATGCGGTCAAAAGTAAGGAAGGCTGGCAAGAAGACAATGGAACACATAGAGGTGTATCCATGTGAGCCTTCTGCATCATTGAGGCAGGTGGCCTACGATGAGGACGACCCACCGTGTACGCTCACTGCGCCCGTGGTGGGCAAGCTGCAGTGTTTGAGGAAGACCTCAAAGGCTGCGAAGGATGACTCACCTCCTGGAACAGAGTTGGTTCCAGCTCGGCCAGCCCAGAAAGTAGTGGAGCCGAGCGCAATGGGGTTCAGCTGCGATGCCATGCAGATGTTCCAGCTCTTTCAGATGTTTAACTCAATGCAAGGTGGTGGGTCGAGCACTGCTTCGTCAAGCTCAACCTCTCCAAACCTACTGCAGAACTTGCAGGTCTTCAGCAACAAACCAGGCCCTGCGGTGACACCGCCACCGCAGAACAGAGTGTCCACAGAGCCGCCCACTAGTGCCACCAAAGCAGCAGACGCCCTCTTCGATTCACCACCGGACGAAGGCAAGGCTCAGGAGCTGCAATTGGTCCTTCCAGAGGCGAAGGTGGCTTCGCCAGAAGAGCAAAGTGCTTTGGTAAAGGCAGCTCTTGCACGTAGGCAGTCTGCAAAGGCAGAGGTCAAAGAGGCAAAGAATGAATCAGAGCCTCATGCAAAGGCCAAGGGAAAGGCCAAAGCAAAGGGGAAAGCTGGTGCCAAAGCCAAGACCCAGAATGAAAAGAAAAAGGGCGAGGCCGAGACAGCGCCAGCTCCCACCAAGAGAAAGACAGAGAAGACTGCAGACGTTTCTCAGCCCAGCGCCAAAGCAAAGGCCAGGGCTGACAGAAAGGTTTGGTCAAAGGAAGCCCCACCGCCTGTGCCTGCGCCCAAGAGTGGCACGACCTACTACCGGCACGGCAAGATCCACCGCAACCAGGGTGCGTTCAGAGTCTTCCTCAACTGCAGTGACCGTTGCGATAAGAAAGTGAAGATCGTTGACGAAGAGAATTGCAGTGCTGAGTGGCAGCGAGCCCTGAAGTTGATCGATGAAGCTCCGGCTGACGTTGAGTGAAAAGTTGATGAATAGGTTTTTGTGTCGAATGAGTGGCAGCGGG